AAGGGGGGGGGCGCGGAGGAGGAGGAGGAGGAGAACGAGGAGGAGCAAGAGGAGGAGGAGAAGCAGGGGGAGGAGGAGGAGGAGGAGGAAGAGGAGGAGGAGGAGGAGGAGGAGGAAATTGAGAACAAGGCCCTGGACCCCCTCCCCGACGGCGACGGCACAGCGGCGTGACCGCCGCTGCGTTGGCTCAAGGCCACATGCAGGACGCGCGCGCGGGGCGCACGCGTGGGCCCGAGGGCCCTGGAGCAATAGCGAGGTGCACCGAGGGCACTTCGAGCGGGGAAAAGAGGCCCCGCGACTTGGTAGCGGAGCCCTGGTCCACTTCGGGCTAGGGCTCAGCGCTGCCACTGCGCGGCAGCCGGAGGAGTCCGGCTTCAAGCGGGTCATCGAGGTGACCCACGGCGCGGAGGTGGCCTTCATCGAGAATCGAGGTGAAGCTCGGCCCCTCCGCAGACTACGATATCCGCTACGACGGCTTCTGCACTGGAGAGCTTCGGTGCGAGAAGCATTCTGTATCACTTGGAGTGAGCTCGCTCACAGACCACGTACACCCGATGGTTTTGCGAGATGGAGCACCTACGTCTCGAGGTGATGGGCAGCCTCAAGGTCCCGCCGGCGTGGAGCCAAGAAGAGGACAGGCAGTACCCCTTCAGATCCTGGTGGACAGATGTGACGATGTGGGCTGCGGCGGCGGCGAGAGAGGTCATGCCCGAACAGCAAGCACCAGCAGTTGCGCTACGACTCGGAGGTGCAGCAAGGAGCTCGGCGAGAGAGGTCCCACCATAACAGCTACGATATGGAGCCATAGCAGACCCAGGCGATGGAGCAGGAGCCCGACAACTCGCAGGATTGCAACTCCTGCTGCTCGTTCTTTCCAGATCATTCGCCCCGCTCGGTGACGAGAACGAGAGCAGGGCGACCTCGGACTTGTTGGGCTTCTACCGCAAGAGCTACGAGAACATCGATCAGACGCTCAGCAGGTTCGAGGTCACACGACGACGAGCAGCGGCTCTTGGAGGATTTCAGATGGGACCACAGGGCTACGCTTGGATGCTGATGACGGCCCTGGGCTGCAGCCCTGCGGAGTGGACTGAGTTGCCGATCCACTTCAGAGGCCACTTGCCGAGGGCAGAGCAGCAGTTCGCGGAGCTAGTGGAATACATTCGACGCTACGGACATGTTCTGGAGAAGGGACCGATGTCGGTGAATCGAAGCAGCAAGGGCAAGGGCCACAGCCAGTTCTTCTTTCCGACGTTCAACTTCGGCGGCGGCAATGGACATCAAGATGATTCAGCAGATGGCTACACTCGGCCCCCTGGGCGCCAACCGCTGCAGCGCCGCCGGCGCCAGATCCATGGCAGGCCTACTACGGCAACGAGTACGACGAGAACGACACGGACACTGATGACGACGACGGAGAGGACCTGGACGGCTCAGATTTCCCTGGACAGATCGGCCAAGACGACGCGGTCATCCAGCAGTACCTCTACCAGAACTACGTCTTTCATAAGAAGCGCTGGCGACGGTTTACAGGCAGACCTACGAGATTCCACAGGTTCGGTAAAGGTAAGGGCGGCAAAGGATCTCTGATCCCGTTTCGTGGAGGTGGAGCTTTTGGTCAACGTGGACAAGGTAAGGGCTACCACTTCGAAGGAAAAGGGCGACGCAATCCTACCGGACGCGACGGCAATGTCACGAAGTGCCTCGCGAAGGGCTGCGAGAGCGAATTCCACCTGATCAAAGATTGCCCCCGCCGACAAGGCAAAGGGCAAGTAAAAAGCAATGTCGTCACGAATGGACCTCGACCGGCGTCGGCAGCCTCGGCGGCGGCGCCATGGTTCGGATTCAACAACACGTCAGCTGCAGCGACGGCATCGACGACAAGCAGCTCGGCCTACGGTTCCGGATCGGTGAGCTTCTTTGCCACAGAGACACCCAAGAACGACAATGAGCAGAAGGCGAGCGCGAGCGTGGAGGTCTCGCGCGGCTTCGCCGGCGTGGTGATAGCGCCAGTGCAGCCGAAGGCCATCGAGGACAAGGCCCCTGAGCGGATTGGACCGAGACCGATGACGGATAGCATGGAGCCTCCAACTACAGGGTGGGCATTGTCCTCGAGCGACGGACCCTACTTCCCGATGCTACCGACCTTGGGAACCACCAAGTTCGGGGAGATCACGGACATGCCATCGGGGCCCACGTTTGGAATCGGACGTATCTTGGTACTTTCATCGACGGTGGCCCCAAAGGACGAGGACGGAGATAGAGTAACGGAGCCACAGACCGCTGAAGTTCCTCTCCCGAAGGCGACGACGGGAACACCGGCGAAGACACCTCGGATGGTATCGGAGATACTCGGCATCAAGAAGGCAGACGAGAAGCAGGACCCCTCTTCGATCAACGTAGGCGGCTTGATCTTCAGCCCCGTTCCAGCGAAGATGGTGGCCCCCCCAGAGCGCGAGCAGCGGAGTTCAGGACTCGGCGGCGAGCTGGGATAAGGTATCGAGCGTGCCCGAGCAGCAGGTGGACTTGTCATCCTTCGACCTCGACTCCGAGAGCTACTTTCAGCCTGGACATCCTCGTGAACGCGAGCGCCCAGAACTCCCGAGAGGAGCGGGCGAGGTCGCTGACGAACACACCGAACATGACGGACAACGCGAAGAAGTTAGAGAGGACAACGACGGCCAGCAGATCCCTCAATACATGCACACAGGCGGAGTGGACTTTAGCGATGATCGTAGAGACTTCACTGGAGTGGTCTGGACCCTCGGGGGGGACCGCGAGGAGACCTTCCTGGGACGCGAGCGCGCCCGGCTTGATGGCGGCGAGATGGGCGCCCTCGTGGGCCCGGGAGCGCGCGGCAACCTCGTTGGAGAACGCTGGGCACGACAACAAGCGGAGAAAGCCAAGCAATGCCAATGCGACACGGAGAAGACCGACCTGCGAGGACCCCTGGAAGTCAATGGAGTTGGAAAAGGACCCGGCCACTGCCATCAGCAGTGGAAAGTCCCCATCGGCACGCAGGAAATCTATCAGGAGGGCGATGGCAGCGGCAACCTGGACACGCACACGGCACCCATCATTCCTGGAAGCGATGTTCCTGCGCTGCTGGGCAACAGTTCACTACAGAAGCTCGATGCAATCTTGGAGTGCGGCCCTGGTATACTACATCTACGCGGGCCCGGGCGCAGAGAGCTCGCCCTTCCAGCAGGGCTCGCAGCTACAACCTGAAGGACAGCAGAAGCGGACACTGGCTACTACCCTGTTCACGATTCAGAGAGGCATCGACTTCCAGCGGCAATGCAGGATACCCCGTCGACCGACTGCAACCTCACCCCGAGCGCTTGGACTTCGCGCGGGGCGATTTCCGGGGTGAGATGGGCGGCCTGGGTTCAACACTCAATGAGATGTCACAGCTGTGCGCCGAATGCAAGCAACACGTGCCGAATAAGAATTGGAATGGATTTCAACATTCGCTGAAGGTGCATGGCATCTACAAGGAGTGCATTCCGAGCGAGAAGTGGGCCAGCAGCAAGGAGATCTTCGGCGACAAGAAGGAGAAGGAGGTGCGCTTCGAGGCGCTGCCGGATCCGGCAGACCCCTCGGGCCTTTGAAGGGGCAGGGCTCCGGCCGCGGCGGCCGGAGCAGCTGCCGAACGCCGCGCGGCGACGCCGCATCATCATTTTCATGCTCAAGTTTTTGGCCACCTATGAGGGCCGTTGTTGTCCCCAAGACCCGCCGTAAAAGTGCATATTTCCCGCGTCGTTGGCCCTGGCTTCGCGCCGCGCGCAGCCCCGTGCGTCGGCGGGCTTCGAGCTCCCTGAAATTCCATTGTCGTCGTCGCCAGGGTCGCGCGAGCCCCCGAGCGGCCAGCGGCGTCGCCCCGAGACAAGGCCGAGACAGGAGGCGGAACACCTGCGCGAGAAGAAGCATTCGGGGCGCAGGGGTCGGGGCGCCGGCGGGGCCCGCGTCTGCGGCGTGGACGAAACGAGACACAAAGCTGGCGCTGGAACGGGAACGGGGGCATGGCGCGCTGCGCATCTGGCGGAGGCGCGCCGAACACGCGGCGGCGCCGCGCCCTGTTCAATGCAGCGCCTGCCGATGCAATGCAACGGCGCGGGTGCAAAATGCAATGCGATGCAAGGGGCGCGGCCCGCCCCGTCCGCCAGGCCCGCGGGGGTGGGCGGGGGCGAGGGCAGGGGCGGGAAGGAGGGGGAATTGGGGGGATATAGCGGGCGGGGGGCGAGCGCGCGCAGCGGGAAACCGAGCGAGAAAAAGGTTACGAGAAGCCTGCGGTGGCTTGAGGTCGCAAGGGCAACCCCCGACCGCGTCGCATTTGAATCAGGCGCCCCGCGAGGGGGTCGCGGGGTGGGCTTGAAGCTTGCGCCGCCAAGGCTCGCTGGGGGGGCGCGCGCGGGCGCGGGCTGGGGGAGAGGTCCCAGACGACCCCAGCGGGGCTGCATTGGCGTGAACGACGCGAATTCTTCCCCGAGCTTTCCAGCTCGCTGGAGGCGCGGCGGCAAACCGCATCGCGCGACATCAGGCCAGTTTCAGCAAACGCGCAGATCGCGCGTTGCGTTTTTAGCGTTGGTCCCGCGGTTGCTGCAGATCGATGCGCGGAAGGAAACATTTGGGGTTTCACAATTTGGAAGGGGAACGGAGACAAACCCTGCGACAAAGTGATAACAAAGTGGTGACAAAGCGATGACAAATAGGGTTGTCGCGCGTCTTTGTTGCGGACAAAGTGATGATAAAGTGGTGGCAAAGTGATGGCAAGTGGGGACAAATGGCGCCGCGCGTCGGGCCGTCGGGGGAAAAAAAAAAAAAAAAAAAAAAAAAAAAAAAAAAAAAAAAAAAAAAAAAAAAAAAAAAAAAAAAAAAAAAAAAAAAAAAAAAAAAAAAAAACACGGCAAACAAAAAACGGATTGCGCGCAAAACTGCGCGCGGCGTTGATTTCACGCGCGCGCGAGCGAGTTTCTGCGCTCGCGCGAACGCGCGCGCTCGCCCCTGCGCGAGCCGCGCGCGTTGCGGCGGAAGACGCGTCGCGACGGGGGTTCTCGCGACCTCGGAATGGCTGCGGCGATGCCCCCGCCGTTTCGGCGAATGCATTTTCCCCCGTTGATGAGCTTCGCTCACGCCGCGCTGTCGGGTCCACGAGTTCCCTTGGCGCTCAAGGCGCAGGTCGCCCAGGCCCAGGCCTCCCCCGTTTGCGCCCGCTTCCTTCGCCAATTTGCCCTGGGCCGCTGCGTTTCGTTTCACGCCGCTGCCTATCGAGCGGGCTCGGGCTGAGTTTTCTCTGGTTGTCACTTGTGGCAGCGCTTGCGTGGTTTATTCCGTCCTCGACCCTCAATGCTCGGACCGCTTCCGCTTGGAAGGTCGCGGCCGACTTGCCCGGCGCGGCGCGCGCGAAACGCTCTGTTCGCGGCGTCGACGCCGCATTCGCGCGAACAACAAACATCGCGCCCCGACGTCGGGGGATCAATTTGACATCGCGCATGGCGTCATTTCGTTTTTCGGTTCTGATTTGCCGCGCGGGGGCCCGCCCGCGCCGCCTCGCGGCCGCGCGGCCGCGCGTCGCCGCGCGACAGCTGCGCAGATGCAGACGAAGTGCGTTTATTTGGGCGCCGGCATCGGTCGCCCTTCCTCTGCTAGCTAAGCCGCGCGCGAGAAGCAATGTATTAAACATATGTTTTTAAACATATCTATATAGTTAAACGAAAAAATGTGTTCCTTTTCTCTTTCTTTATATAAAACACATTGAATATATTATGTATTATTACTACAATTCTTATTAGTATTTAAAGTGAAAAATAGAAGGGTTGATACTGTTTGCTATCGACGCGGCGTTTGGTTGTCAAGGTGGCGCAACATATGTTCGCCGAGCGGGCGTGGCAATGTCGCTTGTCCGTGGCGCTATATCGCGACGCCTGCGACCTCGAAAAGGAGTCTTGGGCCGTGCAGCGGCCTTCCTATGGCCACCGTTTGGAACTGGCAACTACGATGCGCGCGGCACGAGAAGGAGGATGGCCCGTGACACAGGTGATGGCCTACGACCAGGTGATAGGCAAGGAAGCGCGAGATCCGAAACGACACCTCACCGAAGGGCGCTTCTGGCTACTGCGGGCAGATCAACCGGGGCGTCGAGGAGCTGAGCGAGGACAGCGACCCCAACAGCGCCTACGACTTCTTGAAGACTGCGTGCGAGCACAGGTTGCTGGGGGCGGAGACGCCATGCTGGTTGCTGAGCGTGGGAGCTCTATGTGCGCGGACCCGACGATCTTGAAGCTCAGACGAGAGGTTCCCCACGAGGTGGAAATACATTTGTGTTCTTTCGATGCGCAGTCTCTACCGGGCGAGGCAGGAGAACGAGGATGGAGTGACCGAGTAGACCGAGTTCAGTCTACCTTCACGGTTCGAGCCCAACCATGTCAATGCCAAGGAAAAGGGCGTCGGCAAAACAGTGATTGGAGGAGCTCGTCCAGGAGCGACGAACGCAGACAACAGCGAGACGAACAGCACGCACAGTACTTGGTGGCGATGTTTCGGGAGATCAACGACGCCCTCTTGTCAGAGGGCAACCGTTCACCACCAGAGTCGAGAACTATGGAAGCGCCCGCGGGCGAGAACACGGCAGGCAACGACGAGAACTCCTACCCGACGGAGGCGAGGATGCGCGCGAAGATGAAGTCGCTGACCGACAAACCGAAGGAGGCCAAGAAGCAGAAGGTCGAGATCGAGAACCACTTCGACGACTGCGGGGACAGTATAAAAGGCTTGCCCATGGACGACTCCCTCTTCGCCATCCACGAGGACACGGACATATATTCGGATGACGACGATTCCATTATCCTGTTCGTGGAGGAGGAGTTCTACGTCGGCAACAGCTACGCATCATGCCTGCGGGGAGTTGCCGGAGATGACGGAGCAACCTGGTGCGAAGGACCAGGGGTCAGGACATCAGCAAGTCTCTCTCACCTCACGGCTTTCCTGGCGAAGGCGGCCTCCGGCATGGATGTGTTGGAAATTTGCGGAGGACGAGGCTACGTATCCAGGATTTGCGTGCGAAGAAATGCAGAGTGGGACCCAACTTCGACATTGTTTGCGGTGCGGACCTATCGGGTCCCAACGAGCAGTGGACGTTGTGGCACTACGTGGAGCGTGGAGTGATGGTTTATCATGACACCTCCATGCGCCCCCTACGGACGTTTCCCCAGCGTAAATATGGTCAATGCGACGGATAGCTGGAGGGAAAGTCTCGAGCGATGCAGGCCACTGGCCTTGCTGTGCGGAGAAGTGGCACTGTGCCAGCTGCGGAAAGATCGAGCCTTCATCAACGAGAATCCAGCCGGCTCCAAGTTATATCAAGAACCACCGTGGCAAGCGGTCGCTCAGTTTCCTGGAGTCGTATACGCTATGGTGGATCAGTGCATGGCAGGGCTGCAGAGTGCCCGAGGCATACCACAACAGAAGAGGACGGAGCTATGGGCATCCCACGAGGCACTACTACGACAAGTGGTTGGATTTCAATGCGACGGGAGTCACGTGCATGATACGATTGAAGGACGAGAAGCCACGTCGAGGGCCAGATTGTGGCCCTGGAGATTCGCGGCGGCTATCGCCAATGGCGTCACGGACTACCTGTCGGAGAAAAGAAATGCAGAAGGTAAGACGTACTTGCAGGAAACTACGGCGCATTCCCGGGGCAGCGGCAGCAGCGCCATTCGAGGAACATGGACCCTGGGTTCCGCCCTGGGATCCGCCAGCCCCTCCAGATGCAGCGCCGGAAGGAGCTGGCCGAAGGGGAATATCCAGGAAGACAGAGGACGCCGGAGTACCATCACCTGTTCCTGAAGGTGCCCCAGCACCAGTACCGGGACCACCGGCGGCAGCGATTCGGCCCCCAGATCCGAGGACGCAGTTACGACGAGTGCGAGAATGGGAATGCCGAGCTTGCAACGGAGCACATGTTCCACACTCTCGGATACCTGGAAAATGTCGGATTGCTACGCCGGGAGTACGAACATGGAGACGCAAGCAGTGTCAGCGAGGCAAACCAGAGGATGCACCTGGACATACCCTCGTGGCAGGACAGTGTAGATGGGCAACCGAAGTGGGCCAAAGACCAGCTGGAGGGGGGCGCCGACAAGCA